GGGGGGGGGGGTCTGAAATAAGGTGCCTCGATCGATGTAAATTACATGGCCAAACGTACTGCTGTCTGTTTTATCCGGTTAATTCAATATTTTCTGGGAGGAATTTTATTTTTTTATCTATTCCATAGCGAATATCAAATTACTCATTTATAAATGGATTTTAGAGCGTCAGAGCGCGTGAGAGAGAGAAGTCAGAAGCTAAGTATCAAAATGTATGGGTCAAAATTTAATAGTGAAAGAATTTTTCAATTCTTTGGATTGTTTTTCAGATTTCGAAAATCTGAAGAAAACTAGACATTCGACTTCTTCAAGAAGATTTGTAAATTATACTAAAAATTCCGACTTTTCGCACTTAGAACTTCATTAATAACAATGAATTTTCTATCTTGAAAATGATTTTTTCTAAATCGTATTTAATTATTCACCACCAGAAATCTTATTCCAAAAATCACCCAGAGAAATGGTTCATTTGAATGAAATAAGCCACACTTAATAATTTAATGAATGGATTTATTCAATTAATTTTTCGTAATGAAGCTTTTATTCAGAACTAAACTTGATTTCTCCTTGTATTTTTATTCACATTAAAAAACAAGTTTTTTAAATACAAACGAATGTTGCCACAACCCGAATAAAAAATTTATCAACATGTGATAATGCTTTATTTGCAATGAACAAATAATTTATTCCAAATAATTGAAGCATTTTCATTTAAATGCAGAAGAGTCTCTTAATTCCCAACGAAAGTGTTGTTCCAGTGAAAAAAACTAATGCTTCATTTAAATTTCAATGATTTTCATTACTTGTGCATTTTTTATAATTATTCTTCCGCAATTCCACTGACAAAAGGTGCTTGAAATTCTGGAATTCCGTCGCTATTACATCCCTCGTGGTCATTAAAATTCTTCCCTAAAACAATTATTCTCTATTATCCAGTATCAAATACGTCATAACTCCCCTCCCCACACGTTCCCAATGGTTGAACGTCCTAACGACCCCGAGAATTTCGTTAATATACATCTCAATTCGTTAGTTCGCGCGTGCCCCACCTCATATTATACCTTTTGAATACATTTTGTACGCGTCTTACACGCGGATATAACGAGTACTGGATACTAAACCGAGCGTGCGAATCGACCCACGCCTCTTCCTTCTTTTATCTGTCTTGTCTTTTCCACCTCAGCCGCCTTCACCTCTCAACCTACTCCTCCGTCCTCGTCGTCGTCGTTGTCTCATGAATAATTCAACGTAATCGCAATTATATACAACTTCATACTTATTCATAGATGAAAGATGTAAACACTCACTAGCAGAGACGATATAGACCCGTTGGGCAGTCTGGTTAATACGGAAATTTTTCATGAATTTGTTTCGCTATTTCTGAGAATGAGAGAATCACTATTGTTTGGGGGAACGTCAATTTGCATTCCGGAAGCGGTGGAATCATTTGTGATTCATCGGAGTAATTTAAACTGCATTTTCGTCGTTCATTTTTCCTTCGGTGATGATTCACGTGCATTGAATTAAATAATGGGAGTAAGTGGGGCACAACAGATCGGTTTTCGTGTTGAATGGCTCCTGAGCAGATGATACGATTTGGATGGAAATCGAAATTTCTTTTGAAGATTGGAAATTTTTTGAAAATTCAGGAAATTTCACTGTATAGTTTAGGCAAAATTGCAAGGAATTTCCTGATTGAATATTCAACATTTTAGGGAAAATCGGTAGCAACTAAATTTTAGTTCAATTGTTCAGGTGAATATTTTCTTCAATTTTGAATTTTCATTCAAATTTTGAATTTTTGTCAAATGTAGAATGAATGAATGTGTGTGAATGTTTTCATTCAAATTGCACTGACGTCTAAAATCTCATGTTTTTTCCCCCTTAAATTGAATTCAATGCCTCTCATCAAAAAAATTACTAGTCCACAGTCCATAAAATTACAATTCTTTTACAACAGTATTTTTTCTCTGTGCTAATTAATTCAATTAATTAAATTGCAGCTCATTTTTATAAATTACTCAGTCACAGAAAACATCCTAAGAATATAGTTCAACTAAAATTTCAAGGAATTTCGTCATTAAAAGTTCAAATTTTTATGAGAAACTCAATAAAAACTAAATTTCAGCTCAATTATTCCACGAAAATGAATAGAAATTGAAAAAATTCAGCTGAATAAATTCTTGATTCTACAATTTGACGGTGAATATTCATACTTTGCTTGGAAATTCTAGTAAATTGAGGGAATTCTCAGCAATTTTATTAAAATTTCAATGAAATCTAAAATTTCACGATTTATTCCGCCTAAATCGAACTCAATGTCACTCTCCGAAAAATGACTGGTCAACAGTCGATAAAGTTTCAATTTTTTTCCAACACAATTTTTTTCTCCTTGCCAATCAATTCAACTAATTAAATTACTTTGAATTTCTTTATTGTCAACAGGTCCTCGTAGAGTACGACGACGTTGAGTGGCAGAGACGAGAATGGCTGTCACCTCACCGTGACACTGTGTTCTCATTTTTTCTCATTGAGAAGGGCCTCTGCTGGTCAGAGAGACCGGATCAACGACCCAATACAATTATAATTGATCAACACTACAATCACACGAATAATAATCACCAGCATCGTCTCAACGGCAAATCAATTCGAAGTACAACCACCAACAGCAGCACCGTTGCTTGGCCTGCAATCGTAAGTTGTTCATCCTCATATTTTTATTCAATTCAGTGGCTACAGGTAGCTGGATTAATTAATGGCGAAAAAGGAGAATAACAGTGAAACGGAAATGCCAGTGATTCGCATGCGATCCACCAAGTTGGCTCCCACGTGCGTTCACTTCTAATCGTAATTAGATATTTAATTATCCGGGTATATCCCACGATTCATACGCCTACTGGGTCTTGTTTTACAGCGAAAGTTCATGCATTTGTCGGGAATATTACTCATCAATTTTATTGGGAAATTATTTTAGGCGTTATTATCGGTTAATCGTGCAATTCAAGCACAATGGTAACGGAAAAAATGGTCTGATGTTCAACTAGAAATGTTGACGTGGGTTTCAACGAGAGAAAAGTGGACAAAGTACTTGGCTATTCTCAACCACAACTCATTCATGTAAATGTTTGAATTATAATTTTACGTGTTGATGAAAATTGGGATAATTCAGGTGGTTATTGTCCTGAATTTTAAATTAATTCAATTGATTCAATTCGATGCAATGTTTAACATTTTTAAATTTTCAATGTAAATAAAAATTTATTAATAATTTATTGATTTAAAATGAATGATTTTATTAATTTAGAATGAATAAAATTCATTCTAAATTTAATATAAAATGTCAGTATTGAGAATTGACATGTTATATATTAGAAAAAATGGGGATTTAAGGGGGGAAAACATCATGAAATTCATATTTCACTGAAAGTTTAATAGAATTGGATTTTTTTGCAATTTCAAGAACATTTTGACCTGAATGTTCCTCATTTCTATCAATTTTCATGGAATATTAGACTTGAAATTAACAGTTTCAATGCCGGAGTTCCTTGAAATTTCTGTGCGATTATAATATGATGAAATTTTCCAAGAAATGTACCGGAAATATCAGACAAAAATATTCAAGTATAATAAACGGATGTGAATTAATATCCATTAGCCTCGATAATGACATTAAAATGATATGTAGTAATCATGATTGCCCGATATCAAACTGCAGATTGCGTCAAACAGGAATGTTTGATCTCCCTCCGATCGGTGATTACTTTGACTCATCACGTATTGAAGCACATGAATCGATCATAGATTAAATAACTGCATTATTGGATGTGGATAATTATCTCATTAGAATGTTACGGGAATTATTGATAACATCTAGAGGCACTTGGTGTCGCATTAAGCAGATGATTTATTCGCTTTTATCGATGCTGTTATTGACAATTAATTTTATTTCGTTGCAGAGTTTTTATTCACTCGTGTCGAGAGCTCAACTCGATGAGGACATGATGCCAGTGGAATTCATGCACGATAGGCGATTGGAATTCGTGGATTACAGCAAACTTCGACCTTTTACTGTAAGTGGAATTTCGTTGATAGCTCGCGAAATGAAAATGTGGGAAATTCAGGGGAAGGGAAAAATCTATGTTAAAAACGCTATGATGTGCATAGCGTTTTTACCAGTGAATTGTTTCCAAGTAATTAAACTTGTGTAAAGTTTTGCTGGTAGAACTTGGCCAATGGTGGGGAGACTTTGACTCCACTCGAGACGTCAGTGTTGGTTCTAGGCTTCTGTATCAGGTTTCATAAAAATCGGAAAGTTTTAGACTCTTCGAGTTTTGAACAACCTGCAAAAAGGAACTTTAGATGTGGTTATTAACAATCTCTGGGTAGTGGAGAAAAACGTACAAAAAAAATTTACATTTCAGACTCGACTTTTATCTCAAATAAGTAAAGCTCGAAGATGATAAATTTCAGAAATTTTTTTCTAAATTAATTCACAGAAATCAGTCAAACATTCCTCAATGTAGACTTGTGAGCGCAGACCTGGAGCCTATCCGCCCTCGAAAAAAAATCAAACATAATAAAAATAAATTCATTAATAGAAACTTTCACTGTGAAAAGCATTCGTAGAGGAACTTCAGCTGTAGCTATCACCAATCTACAGGCACTGCAAATCAATGCGAAAAAAATAGCATTTTAATTCGACTTTTAACTCAAGCAAAAGCTTAAAGTTGAAAAATTCCAGCGATTTTTTTTAAAATCAATTCATGGAAAATTGTCATTAACGAATTGAAGAAAAGCTGTTACGACTGACAGATTAGTGTCTTAAAATCATTCAAACATTCTTCAATTGAGACTTGTGAGCACAAACCTAATGGCTATTCACCCTCGAGAGAAAAAAATCAATCATAATTTCCTCACACATTATAAAAACAAATTCATCAAGAGAAACTTTCACTGTGAAAATTTCCATGTATCAAAGTCCAACGACCCTGAACTATAAACGGCATTCTACCGTCTTCCAGGCATCGTTCAACCATCTCACCATCACGCATACACAACCACAAATGGAACTTGTTCATTACATTTTTTCTCCTTTTTTTTTTATTCCTTCTATAACCGAGCTGCAGCAAGAAATCGAGCGCACGGGTAACTACTTTTTGCTCTCGGTGTCCTGGCAGCTGTGAGCACAGTTCACCTCATTTCGTCTCACTTCTACTCGAAGTACTAGAAAAAGACGAGTGGTAATGCTGGGGCTGGAGAATGGCCAAGACCAGAGGCGCCAACATATTCCTCCGTTTTCCTACGTAACGGTCCTTGGCAGCCTATCGTTGCCCATCGAGTCACATGTCTCAAGTACTTTTCAAACTGAATCATTCACCGATGAATTGCCCCAATGAGGCTCATTCCATTCATTACCGAATTTTCGAGGGACTCTTTCATGAAATTGATTCATTACTGGAGAATAAACTTTCAAAGCCTCCGAGTCAAAAAAAGTAAAAAAAAATCATAATTTTCAGTTTATCCTTTTGTCCATTTGTACGTCTTTCTAATGTATCCCAAAAGATCATGAAATTCTTTTGAAAGCTGTAGATACTTCATTACATGAATGTAAACTAGACGATGGCTTTCACCAAATTATTGAATTCGATAATTGCACTGGTGGAAGGTATCATTATTTTTTAAACCCGTAACGGCTCTTTGCACACTCATAGAACGATTTACTTGCTGTTAACAGGACTTATTAACTATTAACACTATTCGTCAATAGCTAACGAATGGCGTTAATAGTTAGGAATCCTGGTTAACAGTAAACGAATCCTTCCACCTTTTTTATCGTTGCCCATTGGTTTACATGTCTCAAGTACTTTTCAAACTGAATCTTTCACCGATAAATCGTTGACTGGACTCTTTCAAAGCCTCTGAGTCAAAAAAAGTAAAAAAAAATTCATGATTTTTAGTTTATCCTTTTGTCCATTTATACATCTTTCTAATGTATCCCAAAAGGTCACGAAATTCTTATAAAAACTGTAGATACTTTATTACATGAATGTAAACTAGACGATGGCTTTCACCAAACTATTGAATTCGATAATTGCACTGGTGGAAGGTATCATTATTTTTTAAATCCGTAACGGTTCTTGGCACACTCACAGAAGGATTTACTTGCTGTTAACAGGACTTCGTCAATAGCTAACGAATGGCGTTAATAGTTGAAAAGCTTGGTTAATAGCAACCAAATCCTTTCACCTCTTCTATCAGTGCAGACTATCGTTGCCCATCGGATCACATGTCCCAATACCTTTCAAACTGAATCATTCACCGATGAATCGCCCCAATGAGGCTCATTCCATTCATTACCAAATTTCGAGGGGACTCTTTGATGAAATTGATCAATTCCCGGAGAATGAACTTTCAGCCCTTGAAGTTTAAATCCCCTCCGCTCAGATTCTGACGAACTTTCCAATTACCCGATAAATTCAAAACTTTCCTGATCAAGATGAAGCAGCTACCTCGTCTTTCACAAACTGTCTTCTTCTCAAAGTTGTTTAAAACTCCGAAAAGTTGACTTTCTTCTCGAAGTTTGATCGATCAACGCAACTTTCTTCGGCTCTTGCTGAATAGTTTTATCGAAATCGTGACTGAGCATCGTAATTCATCCTTGACGAGTTGCCATACAAAATCATTCTCTGTATTTTATCTCAAGGGATTTTTCCAGAGGAATTACACTGCTGGATTGTCGGTAATTTGAGGTGTTTGTGAGAGATATTTTGTCAGGTGACATTCCCAGTGGAATTTTGATGAGAGAATCAATGAAAACTGAACATCATTTCAATTGCAGAGGCAAATTCTAGCGAAAATTAGGTGAATGGAATTCTAAAGTTTGCGTTAATGAAGAGTTTATGCAAATTGTGGAATTTTTGGCATTTCCCCTGAATATTCCATAAGCACTCTTCCCCTGAATTCGGGAAATTTCAGGAAATATCTATATTGAATTGCATATTTCGTTCTCTAAGTGCGAATATAAACCCACATTTTGTGGTTTTCTTCATTCAGCAGGACTGGGAACTCACCAAGAGTTCAGTGCCATGGGCGAATGCTGTGAGACGATGGGCAGAGATGCAGGATGGCCAGAGAATACTTCTAACCACACCGAGTGTGCTGGTTGGCTTCAGGGTCGAAGTTTATCGTGCTGAAGGTACAACACAGTGGTACACTGCTGTTATTGTCGGTTACAATGAGTCAACCAAGGTAAACAACGCATTTCAAAATACAAGTGTTGATGTTACGTAAAATGGTTTTATCTGCCATTCAGGATTTAACGGTGACAGATGACACAGTTTTGGAGGACCATAACGAGGATCCGGGGCTTGTTCAGATGCGGCTCATCGGAGATGGAGGTCAGTTCACTTTTCTTTAATTTTTTTTTCTCCAAACTTTGGTGACTTTTTGCTCATTCATTTCTTGTTGTTGTTGAACAATTCTCTGACACAATTAAATTATGTGGGAGAAATTTGGAAGAATTGATGAATCATCAGCGTCGTTGAAATTTCTTTTTACAAATGAATAGGGGAAATTGCTTGAATGATGTATGAAAAGAGGTCGTAATCTTTGGGAATGCAATCTCCAATATTCTATGAATTTTCCTGAAAATGTTTTCCAAAGTCACAAAGTGGAGAATAAAATCCAGACTTCCCACGTTTAAGCAATAAAATCATTGCAAAATGTTCAGTAACTTAGAGTATGATGAGGTTTGAATGGTAGTTCTGATGTTCACCTGCGAGTTGAAAAAGATTTCAATGAAAAAAAGGGTGAAAATTGTTGAATCTCCTCAGTTAAGAAAAGTAAGGAGATAGATAAAAAGAGTTGAAGGATAGTTGGAGAGTCGAAGGATTTTCCCAACTTTATAATCCATTTATAAATCTTCCGAAGTATTCCCAAAGATCCTGAAACTCTCGAGAGCTTCTAGACACTTCTCAATTAATTCAGGAGCTTGCGAGAGTTTTTATGATCATGTTCCACAATATTTCAGTATTTTTCCTCTAATAGGGGACGATCGAATTCATCAAAAAAATAAAATATAGACAAAATATTATCAGACAAACCTAAATTGGACAAAAAGTCGTTGAACGTATGATTGAGAGAAAAATACGGTGCCCATTGTTTAATAAACACTATTAATTGGATAATTAGAGTAGTAGAAAGTGTCATAATTTTTTAAATCTCATAATGGATTCATACATCTTTCTAAAGTATCCCAAAAGGTCCTAAAACTCTCTAAAACCTTTCGATACTTCTCAATTAATTCAGGAGCCTGCTGGACCTTTTATGGTCATGTACCAGAATATTTCAGCATTTCTCCTCTAATAGTCAATCTAATTAGTTGATGAATGTGAAATGGACGATGGAGTTCATCAAAAAAATAAAATTTACCCAAAACAGTATCAGACAAACCTAAATTGGACGAAAAGTCGTTGAACGTATGATTGAGAGAAAAATACGGTGCCCATTGTTTAATAAACACTATTAATTCGATAATTACAGTGGTGGAGAGTATCATGAGGGGCGAGGTTGTCGGCATGACGCCGAGGAGGTCGAGGTCGTCGACTGGCCTGATGACGCACGCTATCGTTGTGGTGAGTTGAAACATAAACACGATTTTCCCATAGTTTCCTCACTTCATTAATTCCATTATCCTTATTCATACCGCCAGAGGTATAACCAATTACCGGTTATTCTTGGATTATAATCATGAATCATGAGTTTCCCCTTTAATGCAAACCTCTCAGTGTGTCAGATCGATAAGATGAGTCGACGAGGGGCCAACAATATCTCTGGTTGCTATCGAATTAATTGAATTTACTCGGCTCTTTCTCCCGAGTGGTGGCTCATAAATGGAAAAAATCGATTGTGTCATTGTCAGGGGAGAATTGATAATCACGACTGGATTCCGCATTATGAAGTTGACGAATTATTTATACATTCACTAATTTGTTCTCCATGGGGGCATTATATATGGACCTATCCAACATTTTAATCAGACACTTATTATCGAATTTTTTAATGTCGAGCTTGATTTGTCGCTCGAGGTGAGCGACAGCAGTTGACATGCCGGGGAGAACTTTTCAGGAATAGAATTTTATCATTTTCACAGAGAGAAAACGTCTCTAGTTTTCAGAAGTCATTCAGTTAAAAAAAATTTTTTTAGTAACAAGAAATTATTACGTTAATGTATAATTATTAATTTTTTTTCCGTGAAAATTTAAAAACGGGAAATTTTTAACATTTGCAGAAACTTTTTACTCTTTGTTGATTATAAACAAGTTTTTCTTCTGATTTTTTACAATATCAAGTTCAATGAGTCCCTCGAGGTGAGGAACAGCAGGTGAAATGACCGGAAATTATTAAATTATTCAAGAATAAAGTTCTATAAGTTTCGCAAAGAAAAAATTCTTTCAATAACAATAAGTTATGCATTACATTGGTACAAAATTATAAATTTTTATAGAATTCCAAAACATATTTGAACCATAAATCCATTAATTTCAGAAGAGAAAAGGTTATTAATCCGAGAAAAGTCTTGGAAATGTCATTTAATTTACGCAAAAATCCTAGATTCAGCTGAAAAACTCCGAAAAAGTGAATATTTTAAACATTTCTAAAAACTGTTTTTCCCGCGTCAATTATAAAATTCTTTCTCCTCATTCAAAGTCAGATGTACAGAAAGAGCTTTCATTAAACTGCGAGAGTGATGCCATTTAAATATCCCCACCATGAATATTCAAAAATTTTTAATGAACTCTTTCCCCCACCAAACCCTCACCAAAAAGTATCAAATATCCATATTCACGTGATACACAAGATGAACATAAACATCGAGCAACCACTCAATGCCCAGCGGAACTTTTGGACTGTCGCCAGTTTCAACTCCATCATATACCCAAAGACTTCTCAAGTTCACTCCAACACAGAGTAGATGGTTATATACCAAAAGCGAGCTAAACTTGGTTGGATATAGGTAAACTCAAGGGGATCAACCAATTGAAAAGTACGGGGCTAAACTCGAAATGAGATACTCTATCGACTGAACAAACGCCTAACCACGCTCGAAAACTCTTCAATCCCGTTACAAACAAGTCATCCCAGTTGGTATTTGTATTTGCATACGAATATAGCCCCGCATACGCCGTATCGCAGTAACAACAATTCCACTGTTTGTGGGACTCCAATAAAAACTTTGAAATTGAAAAGTTTTCAATTGCAGTGTCAAGCTATAAATTTTGCAAAATGTAGAGAACAAAAAAAATCAGAGCAGAACAGTTGGAGGAGAGAAGAAAAAAGCCAAAACAATGGGGATTGATAAAACCAGAACAGAAAGATGCGAAAGAAAGGTAAATAAGAGAGAAAGGAATGAGTGGAGATAAAAATAAAATAGCCCAGGGAAGAATGTGCAAGTGAAAGGGGAAGTTGTTGAGTGTAGGCGCAGGCAGAGGGAGGGGGGGGGGGGAGAGAAGGGAGAAAATTCAGACAAGTGGAGGAACCGTACGTACACACACGTAACCCAGACAAGTAGTTGAAAGGAATTTTAGGGTTGCTGCTTGAGGGGAAAAACAAGGAAGCTTCGAGGATAAGCGCAAAAGGGGGGTAGTAGAGAGTCTCGGTATTAACGATGAAGGGATGAGAGCCGCGAGGGGGGNTAATTACATTTGTTGTAGCTCTCAATCGGCTCAACAAAAAAGGTTATAACAAAAATTTTGCGGTCTCCCTTAGATTCCGAGATATTCACTGAAAACTGGTCAATAGTCAAAATTGACTTGTACCGTTTTACCACTTCGCTACTGAATTAAAATACAAATATTCTATCAAAATTTCACGATTAAAAAAAAAAAATATATATATATATATATATCTGTCTCTTATACACATCTCTCTCGCGATCGTCTTGTGTTTACATCCGCAATCCAATAGCTGGCGCGGAGGGAGAAGTGTCCCTCGTCGACCCCCTTTCCGTCTGTTAACTCGTTTCCAGATCTTTCGTTGCTGTTTTGGGGGGACGTCGTGGCGATGAGTTAATTGCTATTTTTCATTTTTCAGGGGGTGGGGTAGGGGGAATTAGGGTAGTTTCTCACATCTTGTCTGACATCTTTGCTATGAACTCTGATTTTCAAAAAAATTCACACACGTCTTCGGACTTTATTAGTTAGAGAAATGAAATTATTGTCTTGCGTTAATTCAACGGATGAATTAAAGAGCATTTCACGGGGTCGATACACAGATTCTTAATTTTTTGAGTTATTATCGTTGTCACCTGTGGGAAATACAAACAATTCGCGAACGCGTCAGTCGGAATTCCAGTGGAGAATGAATAAATTGAGCAACAATGAGATAACGAATGCGCGAGACGAATTCCTGAGGATTGAATAGAGAAATTCTTCGGGTTTTCAACCTTCATTTTTTTTTCAAGGTTTTTTTTTCATCTCATCACGTTCAACCGGTTTCTGGTACGTTGAAGGCTACGTCCGGACGCGTTATCATTTGTTTTTGCTCGGTGAGAGAGAACAAAATGCGACGGAGGCAGTGTTTGGGGTGGGGATAGACGAGCCCGAGGGCTTTCATGGGGGTGTGTGGGTAGAGTAATTTCGTCCCTCGAACCCCTCCGCTTTCCAATAGCGTCTCGCTTGTGTCTGTTACTGAATCTACGGGTGTATAATCTATAATAGGGCGGGTTGGGAGGGGTATCACAGGCCGAGGCGCCAGGCGACTCAACCCCTCTGTCGTTTTGTGAAGGTGTGTGTGTGCGAGCTTTTGCTAGCGAGAGCACACACTCGCAATCTGTCCCACCTGTTTGTGCGGTAGTTTCGGGAGAGTTGAGAGGGAGTTTGGACAAAGTTTAACGGCAGAGTTGACCGAACTCGTCGAGAATCAAGTCAACAGTGTTTGGGGAGGGAAATAAATCAAGGTGATGGCATTTTTTGGCGTGTTAACCGTCATTACACCATTTTCAGGAGTTGATATTAGTTTTTTTTTGTTATCAATTTTTTCGGAATCATTGGAATTCAACAGATTTTTTTTTTCAAATTAATTTTGGAGAATTGCAATTTGATTACATATTCCAAAAATTAATTCATTCAGGATATTTGAACTGCAGTTTTCAGTAGTAATTTTTTACTCTGTGAAACTTCGAATTTAATCATGAGTTATTCAATTTGATGCTTGAAAGTTATCTATAATATTTTCCTGTCTCACTTGTGAATCGTTGCCGCCCATTGCATCATCAATCCTCCCTCGTTCAACTTTTATTAAAATACGTTCCCCCAATTGGTGGCGTACGACCTCATAAATTAACTTTCACAATCACAAAAAAACACGAATTATGTTCCCCTGAAGATTCGTTAATCTCTTTTTTCCGTTCACAAAAAAAAAAGTCGGAAATTCTCTCGTGAAATATGAGCATCTTCGCGGTATGATTCAAATTATCATAAATATACTGAATGATGAATGGGTTGTTCGTGTTCGTCAAATCTTAATTTTTCCCACTGAAATGTCAAGGAATTTCCTGAAATTTCGCAGTTGAAAAATCCCAATTTCAATAAAAAATCAAGGGAAACTGAATTTCAGTTTAATTTTCCCATAAAATTTCAGTTAAATCAGAAAAATTCAGTTCAACAAATTCTTGAATCTCCAGTTGATTAAAAATTCAACTAACCTACGGAATTCTCGTCTTCCTGCTGCTTAAACATTTCGAATTCCCCGATTTTTTTCTCTCTAAATTTAATTCCATACATCTCCCCCCAAAATAAAATTTCCAACATAAAATATTACACTATGAACTTTCAGATTTCACTCAATAATACCCTCAATAAATATAATACCCTAAAATAATATTCTATAATAATATAATATAAAAAAACTTGGCAACCATTCCACCAAAAAAAAAATTTCCAAAATCCTTGAACCCCATCATTACCAAAAATAAAAGCCTCACCTCACGAACTTCCCTTCCCCCTGCCTCCCCCCTTCCCCTCCCGCCCCCTCCCGAAAGAACCAAAACTGCACTGCTATCGGGTTATGCATCAGCCTCCTCGAATTCGCAATATTATCGTTCGCGTGATGCGCCCGGTTTCAAGGAATATCGCATTCATGTGTGTTGGCGCCGGCCAGGAACGCAAAATCCCCACGTGTATGTGTGTGTGTGTGTGCGAGGTGCGTCGACGTTAACGGTTAGACAAAGAGGGAAATGGAACACGAGAGAAGAGGTTGTGTATGCGGCTCAGTGGGGTGCTTCACGATGGCCGGGAGTGGGCCGGTGGGGGGGGGCGGGGGAAGAGGTAAAATAAAAAACAGACCGCGAGGAGAGGAGGGATATCGTCGCGCCGGCATCGCAAAGTGTGTGCGCGCGCGGGGGTCATCGGCGTGGCGTTTGGAGTTGGCAAGTGGCGGTGGAGGGGGGCTTTTATATTCTCGCTCATTGCGTTTGTGTAAGTCGATTGAGGGG